CCAGATTGGGGGGGTGGGGGGTGGCGTTAATAACCATGAATTTTTCCTGATTCATCCACTATTGGACTTCATTCTCACCAACCCTTGGTTCTCTTGAGACTTAGAATGGATGGAATTGCGGCCCTGAAAAAAAAAAAAAAAAAAGGTATTGAAGTCCTGGCCCCCATTGTGTAGATGGGATCCGATTTGGGAGCACTGTTGCTCTTCTGTTCCGTTAATGAGGTTGTACAAGAGTGTGGTAGATTCTAACCCTAATCACTACACAATACACAAAGCATCGAGTGTCTTGGCTGCAATTTTTACAGAACCAGGCACCCAAGCCTTTCCTTTGTGACAACATTAAAAACTGCCATTGAGTCAACTCCAACGCAGAGCCTGGAGCAGAGTGGCCCTTATGAGTTTCCAAGACTACACATCTTTCTGAGGGTTGATATCGCTGTTAGCCTCCATCGAATCTGTCCAACCACAGCGACCCTCATGCACAACAGCAGGATGAAACACTGCCCGGTCCTGCCCCGTCCTTGTCCTCAGAGTTGTCCCTAGGCTGGAGCCGACTGCTGCAGTCACTGGGTCAATCTACCTCCCTGAGGGCCTTGCTCTTTTTAGCTGCCCGTGTTCTTTACCCAGCATGATGTCCTGCTCCAGGAACTCGTCTCCCGACAACATGTCCAAAACACGGGAGTAGAGAGCCTCATCTTTCTCTCTCGGAAGCAGCTGCTGGTTTAGAACTGCTGGCCCGGTGGTTAGCAAGCCAACTCAAAAACGGCCAACTCTGCAGTTAGCAGCTGAGCACAAACCATTGGGCGGCCCAGGGGGTGTGCGGGTGACACAGGCCCCCGGCAGTGTTATGTTCGGTTTTACCGAGCGTCACTGCAGGTTGGAACCATCCAGACAATGGCAACAACCAGAGCCTTATGGGTAGGTAGACAGGTGACTGGCTGTAGGTCAACATGTACGATGACAAAATTATAGAGACCCTTATTGAACAACAAAGACCAAAAGGTGAGGTATTGTTTCTTGCCATAGCCCCCCTTTAGGTGCATACCTGTGGGAAAAGAACACGGAGGGAACAGGACGAGGATCTACTCCCTAACTTAGAACACAGGGCATCTGGAAAGCTTGTATTCCGCGGTAGGAAAGCCACCACTTTGGTAAGTTAAAGTCCAAGTACATGATCCTGCTTTAAATAGTGTTCCCACAGATTGACTCAAATTGTGTTCCCTTTCAATGTTCTCTGAGCTTTAGGTACAAAAAGGGCAAAATCCGGGCTGTAGGGTTGGTGGGGTAAGGCTTCCCAGTGAAATTCACTCTATAGCCCCCTCAGACTTATTTTTTTTTGGTGGGGGGCGGGGGGCACTGAACTCACAGGATGTTGAAAAGGAACGGAATTTGGGCCTGACATTAAACAGAATTGGGTCCCTCGAGGATGCCCCACCTGCCATTTGACATGGTGCCCACTGAAGGTAGCCTTCTTCCGGGAAGCGTTAGGAGAGATGGAAACCCCACCTTCAGAAACGTATGCACCTAGACGGAGGCCATGTCAAGAAGCAATAGCTTCGCAGCGGCTTTCTATGGCAGGTGAGCAGCAATTTTTGGCTGACTCTCCTATATGAAGAGCAGGACAGACACACACAGCAGGGAGGCAGGGGCACCCCAGGGACTCCTGGAGCCACTGACAAGCACCGCCCTCTGAGAGCCACTCCCCAGACGTCGAGCCACCGAAGTGTGAGACCACAAGCGTCTGTTCCTAAAGACTTCCCACTGTTAAGACTCCATCACGCCCCTTGGGAATGGGACAGCTCTCACGATGAGAATGGGGATTTCACAGGGAACACAGCACCTGGAAGTCTGTGATGTGGACAAGGACAGGGAGCGGGGTTGCCCAGCGCTCGAATGCGGTCCACATTACTGAGTGCAGTTAGTCATTGTGGAGAGGCCGTGAGTGTCGTGATCATTGATTAAATGATATGTCGTTCTGCACTTATGCATGTCATCGCATATGTAAAGTATATATAATTTCATCTATTTATAGACAAATAAATGCATACATAAACATGTAAATAACATAAAAGCTAAATTTTAAAATAATGCATTATATTTGTAAAATATACAAATACATAAATACCTTTCTAGTTCTTATTTATTTATATTTGTTTATTTATATACTTACTTTATATATTTATGTTTATTTATATACTTACTTTATATATTTATCTATAATTTTGTAACATAAAATTATGTCCATTTAGACATAATATATTTATATACCACAATGATATATAACTATATAATACAGAATATATTAAAACATCAATTACATATCAGTTATATAATATATTATATATAATATACTACTTATCCAAATATACATAATTACATTACTATATAATATATTATATCTACTATATGCATATCTATATATAATTAAATAAAAAATTACATTATTTATTTATATAGACAAATACAAAATTTCATAATACAATTATGCATATTTAGATATATAACATATAATTATATATACTTGTGATATATAATTACATATTTTATGTCTAAAAGACAATCTTATATTATAAAATTATAAATATATAAATAACTATAATATATATCTCACAATCTTTTTAAAAAATCTGCAATCTGGTTTTTCTTGAAAAATCTCAGCAAATCTGGTGATACTTGATCCACCTGTCCATATGACAACAGTTGTCAAGAGCTTAGAGCAGCTGCCTCATGTGGACCGAGCATCTGTCCTCCGTTTGCCCCCCATGCCTGCCCCAGCCTCACCATCCCCTACTGGCCTGCACTCAGCATGATTAACTATTCACATGGGGAACCAAACACGTAAGCACTCAGCTATCAAGCTAAAGGTGTGTGGCTCAATCCCCTTAGAAACACCTCAGAATGAAGGTCAGGCAATCCATCTATTTCTTAATGGTTGCCACCACTGAAAACACTGCAGAGTCTTGATACACATCTGTTCTAACACACATGGGGTCACCATGTGTAAAGGAACCAACTCAATGACAACTTAGCATTTTTTCCAAGTTGCATTGGCATAAAATTCACCCATCATACAATCCAACGGTTCAGTCATATGAAAAAGAGTTGTGCAACTCTCACCACAATTAATTTTAGAACTTTTTCTTCTTTCTTGTCCTCATTACTAGCTCTTTTTTTCTCCTAACCTCCCCTGCCAAAATCCAAAGAAACTATTGATCTAGTCTCTGTCTCTATAGCGGTACCCCTCCTGGCCCTGGTGGAGTGGTGGCTACCCTGCGCTGCTCCAATCCGCAGGGTTTGCCATTCGAAACCACAAGCAGCTCAGCGGGAGGAAGACACTTAAAGTCTCTGAAACCCACAGGGGGCACTACGAGTCCGCATTGACGTGATGGCGGTGAGCTTGGTTTGGGGTCTTGGATTTCACATCAAGAGAAACATACCCCCGCCCCAAATTAAAAAACAACAACAAAAAAACTCTGAGAAAACCAACAATAAGAAAACCTCCATTGAAAAGATAACAGCAAATAAGGGAAGCTAGAACAAGCAAGGTCAAAAGGGAAAACGAACGATAAGGTGTTGGACACGAACCTCACTGCACGTGCAGTCACCCACTTTCCAAGCACCGTCTGATGGCCCGGCCACTCACATCCCCGGTCAGTGGTCGGGGGACATTCTCCGGAGGCTTAAGCCGAGTGGGGACCTTACAAATGGAGTTGGGGCTTCCACGGTCATTGATAGAATGGCAACTTTGAAAACACCAGTTTCTGTACGTGTTGGAGGTTGAGACCCTGCTAGTTCTTTGCGAGCCCTAGTGGCGCAGTGGTGAAGCACTCAGCTGCAAACTGACAGATCAGCCATTTGAACCCATCAGCTCTCTGAGGTAGAACGATGGGCTGTTTGCTCCTGTAAGAGTACAGCCTCAGAAACCATATGAGGAAATTCTATTCCATCCTCCCAGGGGACTATCCGTTGAAATTGGCTCAGTAGCAGGGGTTTACCCATCGTTCAAGGAATGGCGTGGTGCAGTGGTTAAAGCCCTCCTATCTTATCCCAAAGGTCCGTGGTTTGAACCTATCAGTCACTCTGCAGGACAGAGACAGGGCAGCCTGTTTCCTTCAAGATTTACCACCTTGAAAGCCCTGTGAGATAGTTCTCCTCCGTCCTATATGGTTGCTACGCGTCAGAATCAAGCCCATAGCAACGGGTTTGGTCTTTAGTTTCTGGTAGGTCTCAAGGAGTCCTAACCATCCCGATGGCAGTGCGAGTGAGGGAGGTCTTTAAGTTTGAGCCTCCTAGAGTTTGCTGCTCTGGTAGCTTTTGGGTCTGAGGTCTGTCTTAATCTGGGTAGACTAGAGAAATAAATCCACAGGCACGGCTTTGTGTTTAAGAAAGAGCGTTATATACAAGAGCAGTTGAATATTGAGAAGACATCCCAGCCCCGTCCAGATCAAGCCCATAAGTCCGATATTAGCCCATATGTCCGATACCAATCTATAATGTCCTCTTCAGACTCATGAAATACATGCAGTGATGCTGAATGCAGCATCCCAGGCCAGTGTGGGAAGTCTTGTGGATCCAGTGGTGTTGTAAGCATCCCCACGTGGCTTCTCCGGCTCCAGAGATCTGGCTCCATCAGCCTCCCTCCATGAGTCTTCTCCACAGGGATGTCTCGCAGGGAGTGAGCATGTGTCCTGCCTCCCGCGAGCTGCTTATCTCCTTTGCACCTCCAAATGAGATCATCAAGCTAAGCTAGATTCTACCCCTTCACTCTGAACCCTCAAATTGACACCAGATTATGTAACAACCACAAGACCCTTGTAGGTCTCTGAGCCTGAGACCCCCTTACAAGGAGCAGGCAGCACATCTGTGTTGAAGGAATTCTTCATTCAACTCCATTCAACTTCTTTGTCCCTTCCTCCCAGGTCTTCGTTACCAGCACGTTCTCCTCATGCCCTGTCCCCTGAGCGTCCTCTGCAGCTCCGGCAGTCCTCCAAGGACAGAACATGACCAACGTCACAGCAGTGTCTGTCTTCATCCTCCTGGGCTTCTCGGCAGTCCCCGAGTCACGGCTCCTCAGCATGGCCGCCTTCCTCCTCATTTACGTTGCCGCCGTGCTGGGGAACGTGTGCGTTGTGGCAGCCATCACACTGGACGCCCGCCTGCACACCCCCATGTACTTCTTCCTCAAACACCTCTCCCTGGTGGACATCTGCTCCATGTCCACCACTCTGCCCCGGGCCATCATGGCCACCTTCCTGGGCTCTGGGGAGATTTCACTCCCTGCCTGTGCATCTCAGCTTTTTGCCTTTGTCTGCCTGGGTGCCACTGAGGGCTTCCTCACCACCTCCATGGCTTATGACCGCTGCCTGGCCATCTACAGGCCTCTGGTCTATGGGGCAGCCATGAGCCCCCAGACCTGCGTCTCCCTGGTGGCAGTGGCCTGGGGCAGTGGGCTCCTCTTCTCTGCCTTCCACACAGCCAACACCTTCTCCCTGCCCTTCTGTGGCCCCAACGTGATCGACCACTTCTTCTGCGACATCCCCCCTCTCCTGCGCCTGGCCTGTGACAGAGCGGAGGCCCACGAGGCTGCCGGGTTCGCGGTCAGCGGCTGCGTCATCATGAGTTGCTTCGCCCTGACCACCCTCTCCTACGTCCGCATCTTGGCCACCGTGCTCCAGATCCGCTCGGCAGCTGGCCGCAGGAAGGCTTTCTCCACCTGCTCATCCCACCTGGCCACCGTGCTCCTGTTTTATGGCACGGGCAGCTCTGCCTACATGCGGCCCATCGCCCGCTACTCGCCGCTGCAAGGACGCCTGGCGGCGCTCTTCTACTCCATCCTCACGCCCAGTCTGAACCCCCTCATCTACAGCCTGCGGAACCAGGACATGAAGGCCGCCCTGCGGAAGCTGTATTTCCAGGTGTCATCCTAGGGCCTGGCGTCTGGGGGTGGGGAACGGTGAGGGATTGAACGGCACCCTCCCGACCCCCACCCCCCGGCCAGGATATGCTGCAAATCCCACAGGAATGGAAAAGAACCCAATTGATACAACTACCTGCTGGGTCGCTCACTCAGCTCAGCTGCCAACCAACAGGTCTGTGATTTGAACCCACCCGCGGCTGCTGCATGTGGTCGTCGGCTTCCACAAAGATGCTTGCTTAGGAAACCCCCTGGGGCAGCTCTATGGCGCCGTGAGTTCGAATCCACTGGACGGGCCAGCTGCGTGGATATTATTTTTTAATCTTTACCGCAGCCAAGCTCCTGCGGGGCCACTGGGTGGTTGGAACCACCAACCTCTTGGTGAGTGAGCACTCTCCTCTAAGCAGGACTTTCTCTCACCCAAGGGCCTGTTGGTGGGGGTTCTCATGAAGGGCAGGTCAGCACCCTCGATGCCTCGGGGGCCTTGTAATCACAGAGGACCCAAGAACCCCAGGCTGCTCATGTCCCAAAGGGCCGCATGATGTGCTGAGAAGGTGGGTCTCAGTTTAGCTCTGAAGCCACCCTCGCCCTTGACTGGTGGGCTAGCCCTTGACTGCTAAGGGCTCTTGTCCTGAGTCTTCTCATCTGTCGAGTGGGAGCGGTTACCACCCGAAGAAGGTAGGGCAAATAGGCCAGCCAGAAGCTGGATGGTTGGAACCTTCTCAGAGGTTCCTCAGGTGAGTGGATCAGCTCCTGGCCTCCTGCTGCTGACCAGCCACAGCCTCAAAAGTCCTGTGGACCCCGGCGAGCCCGCATGGTCTCCATGACAACCAGCAGCCACAAGGGCCGTGGGAACGCGGGCCCTTATTGTGAAAGAGAGACCCCTTCGGGAATCAACCTGGCCCCCATGGGGCACAGGAGTTTGAGAGCCCCCAGCCTGAAGGCAAAGCTCAGAAAGAAAAATCAAGGGGCAAAGGGGATCTGAATAAGGTGGTTTCAGACCTAAATGGAGGCTCCATCGTAAAGGAAGATGTCCATTTCTACGGTTTGAAAGAAGGTGAGCAGCCTTTCGCTCTTCCGTGAAATGTTACTTCGTCTTGGATCACAAAGAAGACAAGGGCCAGCATTCCTAACCTGGATGAAGCCGTGCTCCGTGTTTGCCAAGAGCCCGGTGGCTTAGTGGGCTGTGTGTTGGGCTGCTCCCCTCAAGGTCAGTAGTCTGAGCCCATCAGCCACTCTACAACCAGACAAAGATGAGGTCTCTGTTCCCATCAAGATCCGTGGTCTTGGAAACCCCATGTGACTTACATTCACGGCCAGTGAGTTGATTCCGACTCACAGCAATCCCAACGGACAGAACAGAACTGCCCGTTCCCTTTCCCCGGGCTGTAAAGCTTTACAATAGCAGAAAGCCCCAGCTTTCTTCCGTGGAGTATAGAGAGAGGGTTGAGCTGCTGACCTTGTGGTAAGCAGCCCAATGGGGAACCCACTACGCCACCAGGGCTCCTGGAAATCCAATACAGGCCTCCTACGCCCTAATGGTGTGGTGGGCTGCTAACCACAAGGCCACAGTTCGAAACCACCAGCCACGTTGCAGGAGAAAGATGAGGCTTTCTAGTCTCACACAGAGTTCCAGTCTTGGAAACTCACAGGGGCAGTTCTACCCTGTCCTAACAGGTCCACGTGAGTCAGAATTGACTCAAGGGCAGTGAGCTTGGATTGGAGTTTCCTGTAGAGCTGGTGGCAGCGGGTTGTTAAACTTACTCTTTTAACAGCTCCTCGGGTCGCTAAGTGAACTCTCTAAAAAATAAACTCACTGCCATTGACTCTTCGCTGACTCATAGAGACACCCGTGCCTTCCTGAGATTGCGACTACTTATGGGAGGAGAAAGCCCACTCTTGCTCCCTCATTGCTGCTGGTGGTTTCAAACTGCCGACCATGCAGATGGCAGCCCAACGAGTAACCACCACACCACCGTGAAGTGTATTGCCTAAGCCAGCCTCAAATGTCCTTCAACATTATAAACAATGTCTTACATTTCCAGGGCTTCAGACTCCAGTGGATTCACCCTTCTTCTCTTATTAACCAAATGAATCCGGTTTATAAGACTCACTCACTCACTCATCCACTCACTCATTCACTCACCCACCCATCCACTCACTCATTCACTCACTCATCCACTCACCCACCCATCAACTCACTCACTCACTCATCCACTTACTCACTCACATACTCACTCATCCACTCACTCATTCACTCACTCACCCA